CCACCCCAATGCCAGCCTCATTCTACAACAGTGGCACCATATAGCATTTGTCCCTTTGTGACTGAGATACCTCACTCAGCATAATGTCCATGCAGTGATTCCTTGCTCTATTCTGACTGGCCTCTGGAAACTCTATGAACGTGGAGAAACAAAAGTTATACAAGTGTTCAAGTCTTTCGTTCACAGGGTAGCTATGAGTCATCTATGACTCGATGGCACTTAACAACAACAACAACCCTTAGCTATTTAGTGTATGTACATGCATGTATGACATTTAGAAATGTCAAAATGTAAATCTGAAAATCAGCCTCTGATGCCATCAGTGCTATGTAAGTGCTATCTATATAAAATGAGGACAGGTTTCAATATCCATTTCTACTATGGTCCTAATGACGTGTGATGCTTTCTTCAAGAACACAGTTTCCTGGGAATCACACCAAAGATTCTGCCTCAAGTAGATCTGTGGAAGAATTTGGGCATCTGTGTGTTATTTTAATCTCTTAAGATTCTGATGAGAAGCCCTGTCCTAATGTGATAGTTTAAAAATCTGTAATAAAAATTGGGACTATAACAATAAATATTCATTTACCATCATAAATTTTTTAACTTACACTGTTGGGAACGATGCTATTACTGCCTTGTCTGTGAGGGTCCACCCTGACTCCTGTAAAAATGATATACACTATAAATTAGCTTCAATAAAATACAATTTAATCAAATATTTCAAAAGGTTATATATATTTTTAAAGTACATGTATTTCTACAGCTTGCTAAAAAATTGACTGAAATCCTTCTTATGACATATGAAACTATTTTTTGTTTTGCTTTCCAAGTGTCCTTAATGAAAAATACTTTTGGGGAAAAAAGCTGAAATTTTTTTATGAAAGCTACTTAACATGATCTCCTAATGTCAGGGAGTATGTCAAATTAAGAAGCTGTACCAAATCAACTGCAGAAAAAAAATTCCACTATGTGTTATGTGCTCTACTATATCATAATGATAAGATAGTCAAGTTCCAGAGTTAAAAATCTACTTATGTAATTTATCAGGAATATCAGAATATAAAATTTCTCAAATCAGACTAAATCATGGACTTTTCTGTAGTATGTTGTTTTTTAAAAAATTTATATTGGTGTGCATACAAAATTCATACTCATTGTGTTTCATTCATATATATTGTTTCGTACATTCATTAATTAACATAATATTTTATAAAATTAATCACCACTGATCTATGCCCACTATTACCCCATCTTTTCAGGTCTCCACCGGATCTTTCCTAAGTCCTTCATTCCCTCTCTCTACACAACAAACTCTCAACTCTGCCAGTGATTTCATTCTCTCCCTCTCCCCTCCTCTCTGGACTTCTGTACACATCTTCTAGTATTTCTTCTGTTTTAATAATGATCTTATGCAGTATTTGTCCTTATGAGGCTGAGTTAGTTCACTCAGCATAATGCTCTCTAGCCTCTCCAGAGTGTGTTATATAGTATTTTTAGAAATTGCTGCAAAGTTCCATTGTGTGAATGTACCACAATTTATCAATTCATTCGTTGATGTACATTTGGGCTGTTTCTGCAGTATGTTTTTTTAAAAGCCTATGAGTACACTACTTTCTTTAAGCATGAAAATTACCTTACCTTGCATATTTGGTGCTGCTGAGGAATCTGACGAAGCAGCTTGGTATGGCAAGTCTGTATTCAACTGCAAAAGGTAGCCCTCAACTGTAGGCACTTCATCCCACTTGACATGAAATGAGTTAGTAGTAGCCTTGATCAGTTGTACTTGTGACGGTGCTGGGGGTTTCTCTAAAGAACAATATCCACATTGTATAGTTAAGCTTTATATTTATCAATAGGCGGTCAATGTATAGTCTGTGGGGATGTGGAACTTTGAAAATATCAGCATGAATATTTCATCTGTTTACCAAGTAGGAGAAATGTCGGGTAGATAAATATATCTATGTTTATGAATAAAAGGAATCTGGAGTCCTGACTCGATGTCATTCTTTATAGAAGAAAATATATAAACAGGATAATCCAGTTATAAACTACGTGAGTTCTAAGATTAGCAAGCATTATTATTTAATCCCACAAAGTAGAAAGAAAAATTAAGTATTCTACAATTACAGCTACATTCTTTTACCTTCTGTACAGGTTCAAACTGTTATTTTATTATCTGATTTAAGATTTTGGCATATTTTAGAGATACTGCTAATGTAAGCAAAGATGACTTGAAAACATTTTTTTAAGAACAATTTCTCTAAAGTTGATTTTCTCTTCTCAAAACTTATCCTATAAATATAATGAATTACTTTATTTAGCACTGAATATTACCAATATGGAATACAAAATAGTTATAGAATCTTGGGGTTGGATGCAAAGATTTGCAATTATTTCTACAAAATCCTTGTCCTTTTTTTTTTGTTTCCAGAGTAGGAGACAGCAAATTACGGCCCATGAGTCAAATCCATGCCAAAGTTCATAAACAAAGTTGAACTAGGGATAACAACAAACAGACACTTCCCTGGATGTGCTCACTAAGTTGTGCCAAGAAATCTGGAGGACAGCTAGTTGGTCAACTGAAGAGATCAATATTTTTTTCCATTCTAAAGAAAGGTGACCTGACAAAGTGTGGAAATTCTAGAACAATATCATTAATATCACATGCAAGCAAGATTCTGCTGAAGATTATCCAAAAATGACTTGAGCAGCACATCAACAGAGAACTGCCACATGTGCAGGCTGGGTTTAGAAGAGGCCATGGTACTATTATAGCTAAAATTAGATGGATCTTGGCAGAAAGCAGAGAGTACAAGAGGAATGTCTATCTGTGTTTCACTGACTATGCAAAGGCTTTTGACTGTGGATCACAACAAGCTGTGGCTGATTCTGAGAAGTATGGGAATCCAAGAACATTTGACTGTGCTTATAGAAAATCTATACCTGGACCAAGAGGCAGTCATCAGAACAGAGCAAGGAGACACTGCATGGTTCAAAATTGGGAAGGGAGTCCACCAGGGATGTATTCTGTCTCCATACCTTTTCAATCTGTATGCAGAACAGATCATCCAGGACTCTGGGCTGTACGTAGAGGAATGTGGCATTGGATTGGTAGAAGATTCATAAACAACCTGTGTTATGCAGATGACACAACCTGGCTTGCTGAAACTGAGGAGGACCTGATACGCTTACTTCAGAAAGTCAAAGACTGCAACCTTCAATATGGATTGAAGCTCAACATCAAGAAAACAAAAATTCTCACCACTGGGCCAATTGGCAGCAACAGTATGGATGGTGAAGAAATTGAGATAGTTAACAGTTTTAGTTTGTTTGGCTCCACATTCAACACTCTTGGTACTAGCATGGAGAAAATCAAGAGACAAATTGCATTAGGAAAGTCAGCTGACAGGGCCCTCTCCAGAGTGCTGAAGAGCAACGAAGTCAGGCTGGGGACTAAGGTGCGCCTGATCTAGGCTATAGACTTCACAATTGTGTGCTATGCATCAGTGAGTTGGACAGTGACTAGGGATGACAGAAAGAGAATCAATGCCTTTGAGCTGTGGTGCCGGAGAAGTGCTGAATATACCATGGACTGCTAGGAGAACAAACAGGTTTGTCCTGTAGAGGGTGAAACCAGGCTGCTCCTAGAAGGTAAGGATGCTGAGGCTTCATCTGACATAGTTTGGGCATGTTTCAAGGAGGCACCAGTCCTTGGAGAGGGATAGAGCAGCAGAGGAAGACCCTTGATGAGATGGATCAATTCAGTGATTGGGGTAAAGGGGTAGGTAGGTGAGTCAGAGACAATGAGGCTGGCACAGGATAGAGCAGGATTTAGGGCTCTTGTACATAGGGTCACTATGAGTCACAAGTGACTTGATAGCACATAAGAACAACAACTGGAACATAGATATGCTACCTTACTGTGTTTTTTTGCATGCTGTCTATTGATGCTTTTAAGCTGCATTCTCCAGAGCTGAACAGAGACTGTACGGCCTGCAAAGTCTAAATTACTATCTGTCCCTTTATAGGAATAAAACAACAACAACAAATTTGATTACTCTGTTTCAAAGAATAATTAAGTCTCATTCCTTTGACTATTCCTATCAATTCCTCTGTGATCCTGTTCACTATCCAGCTTATTGATGTTTATTCAAGTTAGAAAACTCAGATCTGAACAGAAGCTGGTAATAAGACAAGTCCAGGAAACACACCACCTACACAACAGAAGTTACAGAAAAAAGATCAGAGAAAACAGATGGGTCCAAATGAAGGAAATAAAACAAGAAAACTACCCAGATCTGAAGTACTTGAGTTTTCAGACGGAAAAAGGCCCAATTAATACTCAACATAACAGACTTAAAACAGACATATAAGGCACTTCATCATGAAATTTAAGAACAGCAGGGACAGACAGAAAATCCTGAACACTTCAAGAGAGGGAAAAGGTCAGTTTCAAGAGAACAAAAATCTGAAATGGGTTGAATTACTCAATAAGAATACTGGAAGCTTGAACACAATAAAACTTCTCTTTTTTTAGTTGCATTGAGCCAGAACCCACTCATGTTGTTGTTGTTGTTAAGGGCTGTCGAGTCTTAGACAACTCATACAGAGCTAGTTTTTAAAGGGTGTAAGCCACACAACAGGAGACTGACTCCCTAATTCTCCCTCAGAGCAGCTGGTGGATTCCAATCAACCTTTGGGTTGGCAGCCCAGCTTCCTATTCATTATGCCACCAGAAGGATAATGATTTCCAATGGGACTTTCTAATTTCATCCAACCTATCAGGTAAATAGGAAAGGTAAGTGCATTTTCAAACAATGCAAAATGTCAAAATAAACGTACCCATCTCATCAAATGAAAATCCCACTAAATTACTGAAGCTCAAACCTTAGAAGTAATTATTTATGCTGCCCTTACCTGTTACACCCAATTCATCAATCAGTTCCGTCAACAAGAATTCCGAAATACATTCCGAATTTATCCTTTTCTCTCCTTCTCCAATACCATTCTCATATTCTATGCTATTGCTCTTAGTAAAAAAAGCTACCTAATTTGTCCTTCCTGTTTGTAGACTTACCCTTTCTGTAATACATTTCTACCCAACTGCCAGTGAACATGCCAAAACGTACATTGCATCATGCCACATCCCTCCTTTGAACTTATAAAGAACTTACCACTGTATCATAAATACAACTTAAACTCCATCATGACTCTCAAGGTTGTCATCTGTCTTGTGGTCACTCTCTAATCGCCATATCTTTGCTCTCTTCTTTCATTCCTTCGTTCATTCCCTCATTTCTGATCTATCCCCAGATATGCCAGGTAGACCTACCTCAGAGCCCTTGTATTTGCTGTTCACTCTACCAGCAGTCTTCTTTGTCCAGCTTTTACATAGGTAGTGCCTTCTCACTGTTTAGATCTCATGTCAAATACTATCTCATCACAGAGGCCTTATCTGATCACCTACACTGAAGTAGCCACTCTCCTCCATTCCCAGCAGCTCCTATTACTATCTTAGGGATCTGTCTTATCAGAAATAGGTACTGTTAAAAAAAACAAAACAAAACAGGTATTGTTGTTATATGCAGCCAAGTCACCCGACTCCTAAGGACTCTATGTTACTGTCTATCAGAAACTGGCATTAGTTTAATTTTTTTTTTTATTAGTACCTTTCATCCTCTCTTATATCCCTAGAACTGAAATTCTTTAGAAATTACAATATCATGAGTTTCATGCACCACTATATTTTTAACATTTAGGACAATTCTAGGGAGATCTGGTGACCTAGAGGATAAGGAGTTGTGCTGCCAACCCAAAGGCAGGCAGTTTGAATCCATTAGCTACTTTGCAAGAGAAAGACAGGCAAGTCCTCCTGTGTTAATTTACCGCTTCTGAAAAGCTATGGCGGGTCAGCTGTGATTTAGTTCCAAGTGGACAGCACACAACCACACAACAGGACAATTCCAGGTGTAGCTGTCACGCAACTAATTTAAATTCTATTTCATAAATATTGGTGTGCTAACACTTTCTTTAAAACCTTTTATTTTATAACAATGTATTCATACCTTGAAACTTTTGAAGAATATTCATAAATCCTGCAGAATATCTCTCAGTATGGCTTTGTCTGATGGTTAGGCTGTAGTTACAGATTTTTGGAAAGAATACCACAAAGGTGAAGTGTCTTCACATTGCATCATACTAGGGGTGAATACTACCTATCAACATGACTAGTGGTTTTAGCCCTACTCACGTTAAGGTGGTTTCCCAGGATTCTGCACTGTCAAGTAATTCTTTTTTCCCATTCTATAGTCTATCCTTTGGAAGTAAGTCACTAGATCAGTTCAACTCCAGGGAAAGAGAATCAAGTGCCATTTTGTGATGGGGGTGGGGATCAACTATACAAACTATTTCTCTCATTTATCTTTATGAGAAAGACAAGTGGGGACATTTACGTTAAATCTCAAAATATTGCCATTGCTTATTTCTTTACCTAAAAGACAAATTTCATTTGATAAATATTCTTACCTACCAGTATCAAGATACCAAAGGTCCTTGCAGCAAACTTGACTGTTCAATGCTTTTTTGTAGCCATCTCTTCCACTCCAAAAATACAATCGAGTGCCGATGGCAACAGCACAGTGTCCAGCTCTCGGTCTTGGTCTGGCATTTTTCTTATCCTCCTGAGAATCTGACACCAAAGTGGTCCACTCTGCTGTATCTAAAAACAGAAAAGTATCCATAATTAACTTGTTATTCTTAAACAACAAAATGACAAAAGCCGTTTTGTTAAGAAATAATTCTTAAAAGACTCACCTAGATTTAGGTAAGAGAAGGAACTAGTACATCGCCACTCACAATCATGAGGGGAAGCCTCAATATTTTCCCCTTTATGTGGAATCCATCCACCAAAAATATACATCCTGAAAAAGGATCAAAAAAGAAATGTTAATAAAGAAAGTAGTTGTTTAAAAGAGACCTATTTTTACTTTCTGGGCATGAAATTTTAACAAGAATGGACCTAAATTGTTTATTTGTTGACACAAATATTCACTCATCTATCACTGTCACAGGAAGGGGATTAAGATTATGAAGAGCATAATAACTGCCTTTAAGAGGTCACAATTTTATTAAGTGCCATAATATCATAGTTACTTCTCTGTGGAAATGTATCTAAGGTGGATAATATTTTTATTATAGTACATTTGAAAATTAACAGTATCAATAATACACTAATGGTATCATAAAGATGCCCAAATGATCTGTGACAACCAAAGTCAAATTAAGAATGATATGCATATATAAAAGAAGATTAAGTTTCATGTAACTCTGATCTGGTACCATTCAACAATTTTAAACTATGTTTCTCAGGGTCATAGGGGTTCCTGAAACATGCTTACCGGCTACTGAAGGAAAATGACTCAACAGGCAAGGCAGGGGGAGGGAGGGTTATGTGACTTCCTGCCAATCAGAGAAGCTCTAAAGTTTTTTGTTGTATACATTGGGATTCCAATGGAAAAATGCCCTGCATAAATGGGTTGTGCACTACAGAATGCTCAAGTTTAAAGAGCCATTTTGAGACTATTTTAAAAAAAGAACAAATGAGGTTCTAAATTACAGTAGTATTTTTTTAAATCTTATTTTAAAGGTTAAATTTCAATACTATAGTTGCTGTTGTGTATCACTGAGTCAATATAGACTCATAACTGACTGTCCAGTGGGTCTTCAGAGGCAATAAATCACACAAGAGATGAATGCCCATCTTTCTCCCACCAAGTAGCCGGTTGATTCAAACTGCTTTCCTTTGTGTTGGTTGTACAACTTCTTACCAGTAGGCCAACAGAGCTCCTTAAATTCTGTATTAGTAAATACTAACTAGATTCCACTTAATTATTACTCCTAATCCCAACTCAGTGCATAAATAATACAATTTGTTGATGGTTGTAATACATAACCTTATAGGGTGTTCTCTGTGCACTAAGGCGCTCTGGTGGCATAATGCATGCCATGTTGTTGTGCCACTACTAACCAACAGGTCATCAGTTCAAAACCACCAGCTTCTCCACAGAAGAAAGATGGGTAGCTTCTTCTCACAAAGATTTACCACTCTGGAAGCCCAATGGAGGGTCACTAAGAGCTGGAATCAGCTCACCAGAAGTGGACAATGCTCTATGTACCAGGCATTATTCTAAGTATTGTGAGGTATTCATGCATTTAATTCGCATGGAAACCTTGTGATGAAGATTCTATTAATCACATTTTACACCAGAAGAAATTGAAGTGCCGATTATGCTTCCTTGCCTGAGATTACATAGGCCAAGCATAGAGCTGAGTTGCAGAGTCTATAGTCTGACTTGTTGTATACCACTGAGTCAGAATCCGTCCATAGTTGACCCTCCAGTGGGTTCTCAGAGGCAGTAAATTGCTTGGGAAGATACTGCTCATCTTTCTCCAAAGGAGCAAGGATCCTGTGGATTTTAACCTCAGACCTTTGGGTTGGCAACAAAGGTCCTTACTATTAGGAACACGAGAACTCCCTAGAAGTTTTTATTATCATCTAAAGAACAAACCAGGGAGCTCCAGTGGCCTAGTGGCAAGAAGCTGCACTGCAAACCCAGGGATGTGGGGTTCAAACCCACCAAATCCCCTGCTGGAGCAGGAGGGGCAATCTCCTCCAGTACCAGTAGGATCTGATTTGACAGTACACACACACACACACACACACACACACACACACAAAAATAATAAAGAATAAACCAGAGTATGTGTTGAGTATAAATCAAGTACAACCAAAAACATGTAAAAGGAGACGGAGGATTGGGTGCATCAAGATTGTTGATGGAAGACAGATCAGTTAGACAACATGCTATCTTATGCAATGTCTAATCTATGCAAGCTTTATGAAGAATGTAAATAAGTATAAGAAACAGGACAATAAAATGGCACATTCAGTATTTTAGTTTCTGTTGAAACATTACTTTAGCTTCAGAAAGCAAAACCATTGTTAAAGTCAGTCACCTATTTCTAAGAAACTAGTAATGCCATTTTTCTTTGTATGTATCTTTTTTTTAAGATTATATAGAAAAAATCATACTTGTTTCCTATAACATTGGCTGTGTGGAGGCTTCGTGGAAGTGGCACTGTTCCTTTAGTTTCTGGTTTTGACCATGACATAGTTTCTGAAAATGAAAATAAATAAATATATTAGCAACTTGACCTAATAACAGCAAACAGCATCAACTTAAAGGAAAGAAAAGAAGAGCTATGAAAATGAAGCAAAAATGTTTCAAGACAGTTATTTGGATTTCATCTTACAATTAACATTTCTAGCTGATTTAAGTTGCCAATCATAGAACTCCATTTACACTTGAACATTAATATGTATAATGAAGATAGTTGAAAACACCAAAGAATTTAAATTTTTTGTTGTTTCTTTTTTAGGGGGTAAAAGTTTACAAAGCAAATTAGTTTTTCATTCAACCACAGTATGTTTTTTAACATTTATCATAATACCTGAATGAAATGCAATGATATCACACTTTCCCTGTAATTCTTATTTCCATTAATCCTGCTATCCTACCCCTTATGTCTTCTAGGATTTATCCTTGGACAAATATCGTTCTTTCTTTTTAAACTTGAATGAAACTTTATAAATCATAGTGATTTTTCATTCATAGATATTTTGCTTTATACCATTAATTGTCATTTATTAATTATATATAATGTCCAATCAATCTCTTTTTGATATTTTCAAAATTACTTCCCTCTCACCACCCCCAACGCTCAGTGGAAAGCAGGAATTTAACATTTTTTAAAAAGTGTACTATGTGTAGAAAGCAGTAAGTGGCACCCTCCAATCATTCCTTCCTGGCATCCCAGAGATAGCTACTCAGGGTTTCTTCAATGACCAGCATTATAACATTACTAGTATCTAGTGGGTAAGGAGTTGCGCTGCCAACTCAAAGGCATGCAGTTCAAATCTACCAGCTGCTCCAAGGGAGAGAGATAGGAAATCTCCTCCTGGGTGATTTACAGACTCTGAAAACTCACTGGAGGGTCAGCTACAAGGTCAGTTCTGGTGGGATGGCAAATGAGGACACTACAGTGCTACACATGATGGCAAACAACACTGTAACTACTACACTCTGTATAAGTAGGGTGGGCATATAAATTATCATCCCCAACTGGTAAACGTTCCACAATGAAAACAGGCATTATTATTATTATTTGTGTATTTGTGTGTGTGTGTGTGTGTGTGTGTGTACACGTACCATTGAATCAGATCCAAATGATAAAGGAGGAAATTACCCTTCCTTCTCCACGGAGCTTCTGGTGGATTAGAACTGCCTGCCACTAGGCCACCAGAGCTCCCCTGAAAATAGGCATTCTTGATAAACAGGACAATAAGCATAAACAACGACCATTCTAGCAAACCAAGATATACAGTCCTAGGCAGAGGGAACAACAGGAGAGTTACTACCATTAATCTAACATCAGTTTGTTCAACCTGATTGATCCAGCCATTTACTTCACACCACAGCTGTCCCTGAGGCTACATGTGCTGGCTATAAAGTGAGTACAATTCATTAAATGCAATATTATTCAAAACATTTTAAATTCACCTTTATTAGTCATAACTCTGGATGGCATAAATAGTTAAACACTTGACTACTAGGCAAAAAGGCTGGGGATCTGAATTCATCTACAGGCTCCTTGGAAGATAGGTCTGGAAATCTGCTTACCAACATATCCCAGCCTTAAGAAATTTCATGAACAGTTCCCTCTGCACACAGGAGGTCACCATCAGTCAGAACCAACTAAACAGCCATGCTGAGTAACTCCTGAGTCTGAATCAAGTGAAGCTTACCTAACTCAAGTTGCCATAGGTCATCCAGGCGAGCACCACACATCCCTCCGAAAACAAACATCTTAGGACTTCCAGAATCTTTTTTGCAATATATAACAGCCGTGTGGGATTCTCTTGGAGAAGGCACAATCCCTTTGGTCACTGGAATGCTCCAACCCACGACACCAGATCCATGCTGAAGTTCCAATTCATAGAAATCATTTAGATATCTAGAAAATGATAGAAGAAGTGAAACATTATAATAAACATGCCTTTGATTAGCTTTGAGGATTTTTTTTCCCGTTTACAAAAACTATACATACGTTAGGTAAAGTTTGCACATAGTATCAAAACAGGTACTGGGAGAACAAAAAAGCCACACTGGACTCATTCAACACATATTTATCAGACTCTGCTGTGTACTGGGCACTTTAAGTACTGGGAACCAGCAGTGAACAAAAAAGATAAACATTCCATTATTGTTTAATCAATAGCACTCTTTATCCCTGAAAACTGAGGTTGTTTTAAAACACAGGGCCAAAATGTTCAGACACTCTTCCCAGCAGAAGGTGGTGTCTATGCTCCCACCTCTCTTTTACTCTAGGCAGGCTTATGATTCCTTTAATTAATAAGTATGGTGAAATGGTAACTCTTAACCTAGGTCACCGGCTGACAGAGATTGACTTGAATATTTGATCTGAGTCTACAGAGCCACCACCATGTAAGAAGTCTAACTGCCACAAGTCCTTCATTCAGGAGAGGCCTCATTTGGGCATATTAGGGTGAGAGTGATGATGTTCGGCGCCATCAAGTCGACAGTGGCCCAATGAAACCTGCCCTACCCTGCACCATTCTCATGATTTCTGATGTGCACTGTCAGTCACTGTGTCAATTCCTCTCACTGAGCAATAGTCCCAGTTAAAGTTCGTCCTTCAACCATCTCTCCCAAGGCACTAGACATGGGAGCGACTAATAAAGCTTTCCAAGGTGTGTCCTATCTGAATTCTTCATCTACAAAACACATACATATAATAAAATGTTGTTGTTTTCCACCATTAGGCCTTGGGATAGTTTTTTACAAGAGACGGGATAACTAGAACAACCATTACTGACAATGTTTTGGTAAGTGTCCTTTTATACCTGTCTATGAACATTGATCCCTTTAAGCTGTAATGCTGAGAAAAAAATACTGATATTAAAGTTATTTAACCCATGTGACATGGGCTTAACCTGATCAGAATGGACACCAGTATGCTATAGCAGTATAGACAAACTAGATGATTTTTAGTACTGCATAACATGCACAGAGATTGGGAGGGTGCAGCAGGATCAGGCAGGCTCTCTGTGTTGGACATCTCTGTGAGTCAGTGCCAACTGGACAGCACCTAACAATACAAGCACTTTTCTACACCAAAACTTACTGTAAAGATACAGTTAGCAAGACAGTATGGTGTTGGCATAAGGAAAAACACACAGATGAATGGAATGAAATTGAGAGTCCAGAAATTAACTCTCAACTGATTTTTCACAAAGATCCCATAGAAATTCAATAGGGAAAGGACAGTCTTTTCAGTAAATGCTCAAATTCCAGATTATCCACATAAAAAAGGTTACTTTAGACCCTTATTCTACCCCATAAATAAACCTGAATTCAAAATGAGTCCTAATTTTTAGGTGGAAATGTTTATAACCATGTGTCAGGCAAAGAATCCTTATATATGACACTGAAAGCATGATCTATAAAAGAAAAAATTTCTAAACTAATCATCATCAAAATTGAAACTCTAATACTTCAAAAGACACCATTAATACCAGGCTCCTAGGAGAGGTAGGAGGAGTTATTCCTTGATAAGTACAGAGTTTCTGTTAAGGATTTTGAAAAGAAACAATGGTGATAACTGCACATATACATAAACATCATCATCACCACCACTATCATTACGAAAAGACAGATGAGGGAAAAATATTTGCAAATTACAGTCCTGATTTTAAAAAAATAACAAAATTGTATCCAGAGAAGGATGGACAATCTTCTCCTGTGCAGCTTACAGCCTCTGAAAACCTGCTGAAGGATCAGCTATGTGTCGGTTTTGACTCAATGGCACACAACAACATCCAGAATATATAAAGAATTCTTATAATTAAAACATAAAACACTCTAATCACAAACTTTACAAAGGTCTTGAATAAACACTTCACCAAAGAAAACATACAGAATGGTGAATAAGCACATGAAAACAACGTTCAACATCCTTAATCCCTAGGAAAATTAAAACCACAATGAGATACACTTCACACCTCTTTCTTCTTGTTATGTATGTGCCACTGAGTCAACTGTGACTCAAAGCGACCACAAGAACAGCAGATCTCAACCTTGGCCTATCCCGTGCCATCTCCACCAGCTCCAGCACACTGATACAGTCACCGTCTCAATCTATCTTGTAGTACTCTCTCCTAACAATGTTCCTCCACCTTTTCGAGTATGATATTCTTCTCCTTAATAACAACATGCCCAAAGTATGTGAAAGGAAGCTTTACTATGCCTGCCTCCAAGAAGCACACTGGTTTAACTTTTTCCAAGACAAATCTGTTTGTTTTTTTGACAGTTCATGAGATATTGAGTGTTTTCTCTAACACTGCAACATAAAGGCATCACTTCTTCTGTCATCCTTAGCCTCTGTCCAATTTTCAGATGCACAGCAAGCATCTGAGAAGACCATGGCCTGAATCAGGTGCACCTTAGTCTTTAAACTGATAACATTACTCTTTAGTACTCTGGAGAGGTCCCTGACAGATATTCCCAATGCAACTTGTCTTTCTGTTTCTTGACTGCTAGTACCAAGTGTGTGTTTTGACTGTGGACTCAAGTAAAATTAAATAAATGACAATCTCACTCTCTTCTCCATCTATCATGATGTTGCCTATCAGTCTTGTGGGCACACCTTTCTTGATTTTATAACATACAGTGTTACTTACTTTGTTCGCACAACAGCCCAGGTATAGATTTTGCATAAACACAATCACCTGTGCTGGGATTCCCATTCTTCTTAATGTTAGCCATAATTTGAATTTGTTGTGATCCAAATGCCTTTGCATAGTCAATAAAACACAGTTAAACATACTTCTGCTATTCTCTGCTTTCTGCCAACATCCATTTGACATCCACAATGAGTGTAGAGTGCCCAAACCTCTTCCAAATCTAGACTGAATCTTGGGCAGTTCTCAGTCAATGCTCTGTTCTAGCCATTTTAGAATAATCTTCAGGAAGATTTTGCTTAAATGTGATGGTGGTTTTTGTTTTGTTTTATTCTTCAGCTAAGAGATCAACAACCTGTGTTATGCAGATAACACGACCTTGTTTGCAGAAACTGAGGAGGACCTGCCTGAAGCACTTGATGCAGAAGGTCAAGGGCTGCAGCCTTCAACATGGATTGAAGCTCAACATCAAGAAAACAAAGATTCTCACCACTGGGTTGATGAATAGCATCGTGACAGACAATGAAGAGACTGAGATTGCTAAAGCTTTGGTTTGTGTGGCAAGGCCTTATTCCTCAAAGAGGTGCCTTTGCTTTTAACACTTTAAAGAGGACTTTTGAAGCAGATTTGCTCAGGTCAACATATTGCTTGATTTCTTGACTTCTGCTTCCATAGGTGCTGATGATGAAGACATAGTACAGTTAAAACCTTGACAATGTCAATCTTATCTCAATTTATGATGTTGCTTATTGGCTCCATGGTGAAAATTTTTGTTTTAAATGGAGGCATAATCCATACTGAAATCTTTAGTCTTTGTGCTTCAAATTAGTTAATGCTTCAAACCCTCTTTATGTCCAACAAGAAAATTTGTGTCAAGTGCATACTGCAGATTGTTAAATGAGTCATTCTCTAATCCTGATGCTGTACTCTCCAGCTTTCTTGAGTCTTTGTCTGCATATAAACCAAGAACAATGAAAGGATACAACTCTGATGCATCCCTTTACGGATTCTAAACCACACATAATCCCCTCATTCTGGGTGAAAGGCTGCCCCGTGGTCTACAAATATGTTCTTCACGAGTGCAAGCAGATAATCTGAAATTCATATTCATAATGTTCTCCACAATTTGTTGTTGTGATCAATACAGTCAAACATCCTTGAACAGTAAAAAAAAAAAACACCCACAAATAAAATCTTTCTTATATTTTCTGTTTTCAGCAAAGATCCATCTGACATCAGCAATGATACCTCATTCCATATTCTCTTCAGAATCTTGCTAAATTCTGGCAGTTCTATTTCTACGTAATGCTGTACTCATTTCTTAATTATCTTCAGAAAAATTTTACTTGCATGTGATAGTAACAATACTGTTTTGTCATTACCACATTTTTTGCTGGATCATCTTTCTTGATGGCTCTGAACAACAAATACCGTCTTTCTTTCCATTGTTGTTGTTATGTGCTGTTGAGTTACCTGTGACTCATAGCGACCTTATGTACAGCAACTCTGAAGCTTGCCCTGTCTGAGCCTATGTCACTGATTCCGACATACCTCATCCTTTTGTCCCAGTCACTGTATCAATCCACCTCATCTGAGGTCTTCCTCTCCTGCGCTGTCCCTCCATCCTTCCGAGCATGGTGTCCTTCTTTAAGGACTGGTCACTCCTGGTTATGTGAGTAACCAAAAAAAGTATGTGAGATGGAGTTTTAAAATCCTAGCCTCCAAGGAGAAACTTGGTTTCACCCTCTCCAAGACAGACCTATTTGTTTTCTTGGTGGTCCATGGTATATGAAATACTTTTCTCCAGCAACAAAACTCAAAGGCATTGATTCTTCTTCCGTCATCCTTAGTCACTGTCCAGCTCTCTGATGCATAGAAAGTAACTGCAAAGACCAAGGCCTGGATCAGGTGCACCTTAGTCTCTAGATGTAACAAATCTAATTCCTCTGTATTCCAGCCAGGCAGGATCATGTATACAGTCACCACTTGTGTGGCTGGAAAAAGTATGTACAATGAACAAGTTGTTTGTCTTGCAAAATTCTATCATACAATTTCCAGTTCTGTTTCTATCACTAAGGCCATATTTTCCAACTACTGATCCCCTTCTTTCTTATTTTAATTTCTGCATTCCATTGACCAGTAATTATCATTGCGTCCTGACTGCATTTTTACTCATTTTCAGACTAGAAAAAGTGGTAAAAAGTCCCATTTCTTCATCTTTGGCGTGAATACTAGGCACATAAAGGTGAAATAAGTCATATTACTTGGCCTTCCTATTAGTTATATGGGTATTATCCTGTCACTAATCACATTGTACTATATTCCTCTTCATCATTGTCGGCACAGTAAAGCATATCATCGTCCATATCAAAATGACTAATAGCAGCCCATTACAGCTCCCTGGGATATGTATTTTTATGCATTCCATTAATTTTTAATAACTTCCCATTTTCCTAGATTCATACTTAGTACATACATTCCAGGTTTCCATTTAAATGGATGTTTGTGGCCATTTCTTCTCATTCTGAGTTGTGCCAAATCAATAAACAAAGGTCCAGAAGCTTTAGACCAACCACCTCATTAAGAACAACTGTACTTTCAGCAGCAGCTCTTCCACAGATATATTTTAAGTGTCTTCCAACTTAAGCTCACCTCTACCACAATGTCAAACAATGTTTACTGCTATTCAATAGGTTTTCACTGGACAATATTTTGGCAGTAGACCACCAGGTCCTTCTTTCTAGTCTATCTTAATCTGAAAGGTTTACTAAAACCTTTCCACCATGAGTGGCCTTGTTAGTATTTGAAATACTGGTGGCATAGCTTCCAGGTTCAAAGCAATGCTCAAGGCCCAATCACAGAACCTGTACTTTCCCAGCATGTCTTTTCCAAGGGCTGGCTCCTCCTGGCAACATGCCCAAAATATGAGACCAAATTCCCTTCCTTGCCTCTAAGAAGTACCCTGGTTGCACTTCCTCCAAGACAGATTTGTTTGTTTTTTTAGCAGTCCCTATGTTACTGAATATGTTCTCCAACACCACAACTCAAAGACATCAATTCCTCTCTGGTCTACCTCATTCACTGTTCAACTCTCAGATGCACAGGAAGCAAATTAAAACCATGTAGGAAATACTGAACAGCTCAAAATCAGAAAAAGTGTGCATCATGGTTGTATCCTATCACCGTACTTATTCAAACTGGAGGCTAAGCAAATCACTTCAGAAACTGGACTATATGAAGAAGAATGTGGCATCACGGTTGAAGACAGACTCAGTAAAAACATGCATTCTACAGATGACATAACTTCCACTTTAAAGTGATAAAAAAACAGATTACTGAGTTTAGATCACTTGCTCTAAAGAATACACATGGTAAACAGTGATGCTATCATCTGAAAACAGTGTTTCAGACTCTAAATCTCCAAATCCTGAGTGTCATAATTTCCAATAGTGCCCAATTTCTAATAGGTAAAAATATGATTTGGGGTGAGGGGTTGGGGGAGGCAGTGACTGTTTGGGAGAAAGAGAGGTATTATTTTTTTCTAAAGTATTTACTAGTGTGAGCCACTTTATGATCTAGCTAAATTAGATGTTGCTATGTTAGCAAGTATATTTACGTCAATATGTTGTTACAAGTGGTTCCATTATTATGAACACACTAGATTATTTCTGATTAGAAAGTATAGTTTTGTTGGGTTTTTTTGCTTGTTTTCTTATTCATTGTTGCATACATTCCCCGCCCCCCCCGACCCCTGGCACCCTCTCCTCCCACAGCCCCCTCCACAATGCACCCCTTGTTCCAGATTATTCTCATACATACAATACATAATCATGTATTTCTTTCGGACAGTCCTTCCTCTCATCTGTTCTAATGCAGTGTTCATTATCTATGCACTCTTTCTCCAATCTCTCCCCAACCCCCGCCATGTCTGTCCTATTTTATAATAGCTGTGTTACGCAGTATTTGTCCTTCTGTGACTAAGATAGTTCACTTGGCATAATGTCCTCAAAATTCCTCCATGTTGTGTAATATTTTACTATTTCACTATTTTCCAATGCTGCATAGTATTCCATAGAGTGAATGTACCATAGTTTTTCCATCCATTCATTTGCTGATGGGCACTTGTGTTGCCTCCATTTCTTTGCTATTGTGAATGATGCAACAATAAACATGCGTATGCAAACATTTTGAATTGTGAAGTCCATGATTCATCTCTTAATAGTTAGCAATAGAAGAAATCAAATGTTCCTAATTTAATTCATAAAATAAGCATTTGGAATGTGAAAGAGCCTACCTGGGAACATTATTGTTTGAATCTTCACTTTCATTTGCCAGGCCACCAAACAAATAGCATTTGTTACCATACAAAGAAAAGCTGTGTCCAAGACGAGGACAAGGTGGTAATCCAGAAGATGGAGGCTGGGGTCTCACTTTCTTCCATAACCAACGACTTGCCTGGGGAAAAAAAGAATATACAACCACAAAGACAAAATTAGGAATGTATTTCTACACCACCAGCTGGATGGGCCCATTGTGTCTCCACGTCCATAAGTCTACATAGAAACAAATGGTCACATCATTCTCATGAAAAGGAGTTAGTGGGTTTGAACTAATAACATTTCATTTAGGAGCCTAGCACTTCACTACTGTACCACCTCCTCAACATCAGACTAATACATTTTAATTCAAATCCAGTCAGAATGCTCTACCACACTATTTGGGGGACAAGTGACATGCAAGCAACTAATTTTAAAATTAAAATAAACATTCAATAGAAATGGCACATTTCTATTCATAAAAATATTTCTCATATCTTTTATCTACAGATTTCCACAACTGATAAGCTTATAATAATAAACATTAAGAGTTCAAAATAAAATAAAATAAAGAGTTCCAAAGCATTTTGTAAATGAAAATTTTTTTCAAAAGCTGTAATATATATAAATCCACTATCATATACTCAAATTACCACAGCAATATCACAAAGCAAAGGAGAACTGCTTTGTAGGATTTCCAAGGCTGCTAATCTTCATGGAAAACAGAAGACCTTAATGTCCTCCCATGGTGTGGCTAGCGTGGGTTTGAACTATCAACCTTTTGGTTAGCAGCATAATCCACTATACCACAATAGCTTTAAATAAATGTCATTTATGCATTGCATTTTCTGAAATTAGAAAACTCATAAATGAGATGTTTTACCTTTAAACAAACATAAGACCCACTTAAACTAAAATAGCAAAGCATATTTTCTAGTCACTGACATTTTCTTTATTTGAAACTATTTTTAAAATAAGTTTTGTAAAGAGCCTATATGTTTATGACCCAGACAAGTATGTTAATGACCAGAATACACGAAGCTAGGGCTGTCAGAGAGACTGGCTTAACGAGAGAGTCAAACTTAGAAAGGATATATTAATCTATAACCCCCTTTAAAATACATATTACAGAGAGAAAAAGAAGAGTGATTACTGGTAGGAGAGTAATAAGGCAGAGGAGTCCAAAGTCTGCTCTGGGATCATCAGCACCGGCTAGTGATTTGTTAGAAGTGCAAATGCACTCAGGCTTCCACCACACAGATTTTAAGTCAGAAACACCAGGAACAAAGACCAGCAATCTGTTCCACTATTCTTCCAGCAGCTTCTCTGGCTATAGTTAGGAACTACTACACTAAGATAAAAAAATCAAAATAGAACCTGATATTAAAGAACAAATGCTTTCATGTTATAAATGTAACTCTGGGTATTGAAAACACTTACATTAGAAACTTTCTGGCTTTTCCATGAAGTGGAAACATCTTCTGTGAAGCTATCAAATTGAAACTCACACTAGTTTAAATATGTTAATGAAACAAGTTGTAACCTTTTGTAGCATTAAAACTTCAAGCTGAGACAATACATTCAGAATACACTTACTTGTAACTCATATAACTCACTGCTGTATCTTCCATATTCAACCATGCCCCCAAATACCAGTATTCTGGTTCCATCACAGACAAATCCATGGGCAGCGCAGCCTGGAGGGATGTCTCCTCTAACAGCTGGTAGGAACCACTGATTTGTAACTGGTTATGAAAACAAAATTAAAACCAATTTTAATAAATAACACCTACCACACACTATGTATTATGTACTTTACATGTATCAGTGGTTCTCAAATGAAAATGCATTTGTTCCCTAGAGGTCATATAGTATGTCTGGAGACCTTTCTGGTTGTGACAATATAGAGAAATGACTACTGGCATCCAGCTAACAGAAGGTAAGTATGCTGCTAAGTATTTCACAAAGCACAGGCCAACTCCCCACAACAAAGAACTACTGGGGCTAAAATGTCAATTAGATTGATGCTGAGAATATTGATGGCAACTATTCCTTAGAAAAATCCTGCTTGGGGCGGGGAGGATGTGGTTAAGTAATTTTCCTTTTACAATAAATATTTCTGAGGCTTAGAAAAGTTTAATAACTTCAGTCCTGATCCTGGGCACCTAGCAGGGTAAGGTTCAGAACAGGTCTTAAGCCAGGCTTTCTACACTCGGTCAACCTATCAAATTGCTTTTGAATTTACATGATGGGGGGCGAAGGAGGAGAGAGCAGAAAACAAAAATTTTCCAACTCCACCGTTTTGTTCCCCTTCAGATGATCATGAGGGTTCAATTAGGGGGCTCTGGTGGCACAGGCCATAAGGAGTTGCAATGATGACCCAAAGGGGTTGCCCCTCTCTGCCAGTTTGACTCCATCAGAGGCTTCTATTTACACCCTCATTTATGGTCTCAGACAAGCCACCCAGGGTCAGCTATGAATCCAGTCGGTTCCAACTTAAATAGCTTCTGATTACATAGCCCTTAGGGAGTTGTGCTGTTAACCCAAAGGCCACGTCTCTGGAGATTCAAATTCACCAGCAGCTCC